TGTAGATCACCATCATCTTCAAGCCCTATGAGGGTTGTACAGACCAGAGGGTCTACCAGGCTGTCACAGACAACCTCCCCGCTGCCTTTGACGATGGAACCGTGAGCAGCGGAGACCCCATCCACCTTTCTGCTGGCGCAGAAGGTGCAACTGGGAAGGTCCGGGCTTTGTGGATCTCTGAGCGCAGCCCGGGGCACCACGTGGAGCTGCACGCCGGCTACATTGGTGTAACTGTAATTGTTCGCCAGCTGGGCCGCTACCTGACCCTTGCAGTGCGGATCCCGGAGGAGCTGTCACAGGCCTACGATGCCACCCAGGACCTGCAGCTCTGTCTGAACGGCTGCCCCGGAGGAGAACGCATCGACCAGGCCGGCCATCTTCCCCTGCCGCTCTCCCCTCCTGCGCTCGGCCTGCAGCTTCAGCAGCTGCGTCGGCCCAGCTACTCCTCACAGACACAAGCGTCCCCCTACGGAGCCACGCAGGTATTCAGTGTGGAGGGTGCGAAGGAACGCTGCAGGGAGCAGCTGGATGTGCAGGACATTTACTTCCACTCCTGTGTGTTTGATCTCCTTACCACCGGGGATGCTAACTTCACAGTGGCAGCGTACAGCGCCCAGAAGGACATGGAGAGTCTCCACCCACACAGGGATAGATGGAGGATCTACCCCCGTGGCTCTGCCACCTCCACCTTCCACTCGGATGCTCCACCTATCAAACGGCTGGCTCTGCGCCTGCTGTGTGCTCTGAGCTTGGCCTTGATGTAAGAGTGGGAATGGGAGGCTTGTGTATGTGTGTGTGCACTAGAGAGAGAATTTGGGGAGTTTTGTTGAGCACTGATACTTAGCAGCGCTGTTTCCTCTCTCATTTGGAGAGGAAACAGCAGGCTGGACAGCGAATGGGAACTAGTGTTTTTGGCACCAGAGATACTGGCAACACTAACAGCGTCTTACCTGGCAGAATTAGCCTTCTGGAGAATAACACGGGAGTTGTGATGACTGCTTTCTCAATCTGTCTTCATCTTTAGATAAGACTCACGCCAACGACACAACCGTACCTGTGAGGGTGAATGGAGTGTGTGGAAATACACTTCAAACTGTAAATAGCTTGTCTTCAGTGCACAGTGTAATGCCGTAGAGTTTTTTTTTTTGTGCCATTTGATGTGATTTCCCTTTAATACCTCAGACAGAGGATGTTCGTTTTAACAGAAGCACTTTATATAGTTTCTTTTAGTAATTTTATTTTTTTTTTTTTTTTTTTTTTTTTTTTAAACAAATCCACATCAGTGTTTCTTCTTCTCTCACTTACTGTCCTGTACCAAAATCTCCAATGGCTCAAGCTTTGGAGACCATCAATGATTTGATTTTTGAACCTTTCCATGTAAAAGTCTGTGGAATACAAGGAGCTGTCATTTTTGTTCAAATCTTCCAGTAGCTGATTTAACTCAGCGTCTCATTTTTAAGTCAGTCAATGTGAAGTGTTCTCTTTTGAATGTTTTATTGATATTGTCACAGCAAATGCCATCAGTACTATTTTGTTGCTGTATGAATGTGTTGTTTTTCCTCAGTCATGATTTCAAACATGTTCGTGTGTGTGTGTGTGTGTGTGTGTGTGTGTGTGTGTGTGTGTGT